ATGAATCACATAGGATATAATAACTTTCCTATAGGTACCAAAAATAGCGACGTCCGTAAACGAAGTAATATAGTTTTACATTATGAAAATAAAATTACTCTAAAATTATATTAGTCTTTCAAAACCTTCGTGTATATTTGATTAAGATAAGTAATTATAATATAATTTCACTGCTTAAGCAAGTATTAATTACTAAGCTAGTAAATTAATTCTAAAGCTTTTCAATTCATTTACTCTCTATAAATAAATAATGAGTTAAGTTACACAGAAATCGAATACAGTAGCGTAGCTAGCAAGTGTTCTCGATCGACCTATAGACTCCTTCGAAAAACATCCTCCTTTATCGAATAAGTAAACCATATACCAATCTCGGGAATAATCGGGTGCCATCCACTAAATAACGGGTGTAACAGATGCTGATGTCTCAAGACAGAAGGATAAAAAAGTATAGCAACATTTGTTTTTTTTGTTTGTACTCGTAAATGCTGCAAACGGATGGATCACCCGGAGTGTGCCGCCCTCAATTGCCTACCACTGGTCCATTATATTTTTACGTTTATATATTATACTACCGACTTACCCTCTCTTCACTCGGGTGCGTCCCTATGTATAATACATAGATACGCTATATATTTTTTGAGCGGAACCCTATTGTTTTCTAAAATGAAAGTAGCCTAAGTTACTCCTGAAAGTCCCGTTAAAATCAGTCTAACCTTTTCGGAGATTAGCAGGAACAAACAGACAGTACAATTTTAATAATTGTGTTTTTCTTATAAGTACCGTATATAATTTCGTATGCATTTTGTAAAAAGCCAAAATAAGTCTGTATGTATAATAACAGATAAATAAAATTGAAGTGTCAGTTTGTCAAGATAATTTTTGATATTGCAAATAAACACTTTAATTTTCTGATGATCTATAGATTATTCTAATTCGTGTTTGATTAACTATTAATATCATTATCTTTGCTACAGTTTATTCAAGTAAGAATGTTTAAACAAATATGATTTCAAATATATTTGAAATTGAATACATAATTTAATAATATTAGTGTCTATGCACATTGTACATATTACATAGATATCAACTTTGTAATTAATATTCAACTTAGCCGCAGTATGCTTTTATTGAAGTTCCTAATAGATATTTTATTAAAAGTTCTGTTTCCATTTACATATATGATATCTATCCGTATTAATATTATCAATATGAAAGTTTATGAGTATGTATGTTTGTTACTCTTTCACGCCAGAACGGCTGAACGGATCTGGATGAAATTTGGCACAGAGATAGATAGGCTACCCCGGAAAAATGTACGGTTACCGTGGGATAGGTCTGTTCTTGTTTTCGAGCGAGGGTGAGCCGCTAGTACCTACATATAATAAAATTCTAACTGGGTCGAACCTGTACATTAAATATTTTCAACCGACTTCGAAAAGGAGGAGGTTCTCAATTCTACTGCTTTTTTTTTAATGTTTGTTACCTCAGAACTCCGTCATTTATTAACCGATTTGGACAATTTTTGTGTTGTTTGAAAGTGTATACTCCCAGATTGGTCCCATTTAAATTTCAAAAAAAAATACCACCCATATGGGTGAAAAAATAGCTAATGATGAGTTTAACCTACTTCTAATTGTCATATTGACTTGAAACTTTGCAAGAGTTTCTATTTCCGTTGATAGTACAGTGGTCCGGTATTGTAGACCTGATCTGATGGTAAGGCCAGAAGGTGGATAGGTGGAACTCTTCAACGGCTAATAGTAGATACTTTGAGTTTGGGCTTATTTTGTTTGATTTGACAAGCCTAACACGTTAGAATTCTTACTTTGCTACTACTGTCTACACTAAAAAGGGAAAAATAAAAACTTTTTAACAAAAAAATTAAAACCGACTTCAAACAAAAGCACTAAAAAGTAACAAATAACTGATTGGTAGTTTTCATTTACTATACATACCTAATCAAATATTTTCGAAATCGGTGCCAGCAAAAAAAACTTATATATATATATATATATATATATAAGTTTTTATTACGATTTTAATGATTTAGCGTAAAAAATAATATATAAGTACATATTTCTAAAATAAAAAAAATATTTAAAACTCTAATGAAAAAAGATCTCATAAAAAATATTGATTTCATCTATACATAATAATAAAATGGTGATTTAGCCGAATCTGTATAATAACCACTGGATATATTATTTTACTGATGACTGATATACTATTTTGATGAAATTTGGTATGATGATAGCTGGTAAATAATATAATTGAGTGATTTTAAAATCATTTTGCATGTACCTACTACATATTTATTTTATCAATTTGCAAAAAGTGGACCTCACAAAGAACCAGTACCTCATATTCGTTTAAATACCTTTGCGAGCTGGCACCAACTCCAAAAATAACTAGTTACGTAAATTATTATTTTTTTTGAACCTTGGATGGAAATTTAAATAAAACTATCTTTTCAGATTTTTTCGCGGATTTATTTTGATTTTTGGTTTCAAATAATCGCATAAATCTGTATAGTATTGGTATGGAGCTGTCGCTAAGGTACGAGGTAGTACTTTTAATGTTCCTTATTAGGAACATATAGCTATTGTGAATACATCACATACAAATAATTATAGACTAAAGGCTTATAACTAAAGTTAATGCTTTGTATACATACACACATTACATACCATGGAAACCAGTTCGAAATCCATGTTCATTCCTCAAAACGAGTAAAAGTAAAAGTAACTTATGATGATGAGTAGAAATAATTTATCATGGTATTTTCACTAGCCCACTCCAATAAACTTTTATTTTTGTTATTTTTATATGTACTTTTCTGTTGGAATTCCTTAATCTATCTAAATTATAATAAAACAGTAACTTAGCGTAATCTTTAGATGAAATATTTTTTAAAAACAATAACGTATTATATAATAGGAATGCATATTGCGCTACAAAATAAAAACCAAACTGTTTAAATAATAAAAATGAAAATAAAAGAGTGACTTGTTTTTAGTTATAATTTATTGAGTAATTTCAATAAACACAAGCTTATTATGAGACTTTATTAAATGTGTACTTATACCGTTGAATAATTAAAAATAGTGCAACAGATAAAGCTATTATTATATTAACATATGAAGAAAAAAATGTTAGACATTGTTAGTCAAACTAGTTCTCCGTGAAGGTCCGAAGCATTATAAAATAGGAGAATGAAGTTCTAAGAATCTGTAAAAAAGTATAATTACCTACATTTATATTTGTACGTATTAGTAAATATTTTGTATGGCTGTTGAAATTTGGCAAAGAGATAGAGTCTGGCATAGCACATAGACTTTTATCCTGGAAATATGTACAGTTCCCGTGGGATAGATTAATATTTCTGTATAATGTTATTGTATAATTTTCGTATAATGTCAATAACCTCAATATATTAATATGAATATTATAAATGCAAAAGTAACTCTGTTTATTAGTTTGTTTGTTCGTTTGCTTGTTACCTATTCACGACTAAACGGCTGAACCAATTTAGATGAAAATTAGTAAAGAGATAGTTTGAGAACCTGGGAAGGACGTAGGATAGTTTTTACCCTGCAAATTATCCCTTAGGGGGGTGAAATGAGGATGGAAATTTGTATGGGGAATCAATCATTTCTCAAGTAAGGGATATAAAACTCATCATACCTATGTACATAATAATATAATATATCTATTCCATACTAACTATCAAAACGTACCTAGGAATGAACCTGAGCGAAGCGTGGGTAAGCCGCTAGTAGGCTATATATCATCATGCTACTACCCAAGGGAGTGGGGCAGTATTAAATATAATATATCTACCTGGGGACGAACCCGAGCGAGGGTTAGCCGCTAGTTTAATTTATCATAAATATGCATAGAAATAATAAAAAGAATTAATCAATAAACTTACAGCGACCATAGTTTGTACCCCAACAGATACCATCCCCATTGCCTTCAAGGTTATAGGTGTCTGGACATTACATAGAAAAAATAATAATATTTTTCTATTCTTTACATCCAAGCACTCCCAAGGTATATCATACACAGCGTGTTTTATTGCTTCACTCTAAAACCAGATAAAAATCCCACAAATACGTATATTACAACTTGTTGATATTTTTTGTGTGAACCTCTAATGCCTCTTAAATATCTAATAATGTACATGCATACATAAAAAGATTCATAGTTTTATAAGGTTTTTTGATATGTTATCTTTTAAAATCTGTATTGTGCAAAAACAACGTTTTGATAAAAAAAAAATCTTCTACTTCGCAATCAACATACAAAGCACAAATTAAAACCGTATAGTTATTTTTTTACATTTTAGTGCCTGGAAGTCGGTTTTTATTTTATTTTTAACGTTTTATTTTTCCATATTTAGTGAAATGAGACGTGATAAGAAGATAATTCGTAAGAAGAAAGTCTTTTAATAACATATTCAATTAAGAAATTTATTTAAAAAAAAATTATTGTTGATTTTTTTTAACTTTTCTTCCCTTGGAACCATTTCGTTGTCTGATATAAAACGAGTAAATGTAGCTTTGCTTTTAAAAAAAATGTAAAAATACATTACAAATGATGATGATGATGTTCTCCTAGCCGATTCCGGCCACGGCGGCCAATCTCAATGAGATTAGCCAACTGCGCAGGAGATATTATAGTGCACAAGTGTACGCGCAGACACAAGTGCACTCTCTATTCCTACACGACCGGTGAGAGTTAAGGCGCAGGACCGACGGCTTTACGTGCTCTCCGAGGCACGGGGGTGAAACACCACCAACTTCCCAACTCCGGGCTGTTACTGAGACTTACTATACAGGAAGACTCAATAACTAAACTTGGCCCGACCCGGGACTCGAACCCAGGACCTCCGGGTGTGCAGCCGTACATGCTAGCCACTACACCACCGAGGCAGTTACATTACAAATACCAATAGTATCAATTGCAAGGACACAATTTTTTAATAAATATATTTTTTAATAAAACTCGTTATCTATTTCTTCTTTCTGCAAAGCGCTCTACAATGTTAATAAAAATGCAGATTTCAGAACATGTGGTTTAGTTAGATTGTCTCTCAAGCCGCTATATAATCGTATACTTACATATTATTTATGGATCCATACCTTATGTCCTATAAGTTCGAATATAATAGATATTTGTATTAACTGTTGAAACATAACAACTGTAAGAACACCGTAACTACCAATGGCTTTAGTATCCTGGAAAAAAATAATTAGTATAGTAAAGTCCAATTTCTACAATAATTTCGGCGAATTTACATAATCATCTAAGAATATTTTAAATATTAATTGTATGTTAAGAATTATATTTTTTTTGTGTTATACTAAAAAAAAATATATCGATCTAATAATATAAAAAAAATACCAGTATACAAAAAATCGTTCTCCTCAATCATTCAAGTGAAGAAAATAAAATATTTTAATTAATTTTAAGTATGGTAATTTTTGTTCAAATAAATTATTGAAGTTAATCAAGTTGAATAACTTACCAAAGCAGATATTTCCAAAAGTAATATGCACCCGACAATTTGATGAAACATGTAGTAGAAGCACATCATCATACCAAAAGCGTCTGATGCCAAATTAATAAACCTGGATAAAAAATTAAAAAGTTTAAATATTAGCCCATCGCTCCTCGGGAGCTTAGACATTCTTAATTTTTTTTAGTAATTGGTTAATGATAAAAAAGAAGGTAAAAGCTCATAGAAAAGTATACAATAAAGTTCCTATCGTATTTTTATTATTAGTACGCATGTAGGAGAATTATTATATAACTTTAAACGAGCAATTCTCATATATTTATTTATTTATATAAACATACCAAGATATTTATATTTATAAACCGGCGATGTCGGAAACGGCTCTAACGATTTCGCTGAAATTTGGTATGTGGAGGTTTTCAAGGGAGAAAATTCGATCTAGATTAGTCTTATGACTGGACAGACGCGTGTTTTCGAGTTTTCATGCGGTTTTCTTTCGCATTATATTTATTCTACGCAAAATATGATTGCTAATTTCACACTCCCAGTCATATAAACATCGTGGTCAAGCGGCCAAGGCGATAGCGAAGATTGACAATAACAGGTGTCTGAGTTCGAATCCCGGTCGAATACAAAGATTATACTTTTGTTTTTTTTGTATTTATTCAAGTTTTTAGTTTTTTTTTGTTTTTAAGCCTAATTAAAAATAATATTGTACTCTTGATCTACCTACAGATGACTCTACCTACAGAAGAAGAATTTTTAACTGTATAATTTGTATATTGTACTATGATAAAGTTTCTAAAGAAAGTGTAAGTTATTTAAGTTGACAAAATGGCAAACATTCGTTTTCTTTTTTGAATTTTGAATAAGTATTTTTATATTGTTCTTCATTTTCATTTGTTTTTAAAATACATTATCATATCATACAAAAATTTTATTATTTGAACAACTTAATATAACAATATTATATTTTCTTATTTTATTAATATGTACTTACTCCATAATCAGCTTGTGATGTTCAATATTTTCTTTTAGTATCACAAAAATTGTTTTTAACTCCTCTTTAGTATACATTGCCACTTTAATAGAGTAATTTCCTTCTACATATTTTTCTATCGATGGTTTTGGGATATTTTCTAGATGGTATTTTAAAATTTTCAGATGTCCCCAAACGTGAAATATTATGAGGCACATGAGAACATCATATGTACAAAATGTCGAAGCACCATCCAGTGTCATATAGTAGTTAAAAAGAGCAACAAATCCATACCCAATGTTGTTAACTTCTAAAGGAATGTAGTGGTATACAGAATATTCGTACCGTATAGTCGATTGTGTATCATTATCTAATCCATGTTTTACTTTAAACACCCCTGACTGAATATTATTGTAAAATGGAGTTATGTTAAATAAAATCGACCCACTGTACATTTGGAAGTAAAGGATAATTGTGAAAAATGATGACAAATTGTGAACCTGTTTGTATACCTGTGAATTGATATTTTATTTAGTTGGATTTGAAGATTCTATTCCCAGAGAACTTAAAAATAGAGTCTCAGGCTTATGGAACCCTATCATATTATATTATATTACATAGTGTCTCTTCTATTGAAAAAGTGTGTAGAATTTAATACAATATAAGTAATGTATTCAACACTTTTTAACTTCCCACTGCTGGGCACGGCCTCTCTTTAATACGAGGGGGATCAGGCCATGTCCACCACGATGGCCAGGTGAAGGTTGGCGGACTTCACATGTCTTTCGAGAACTTGCTAGGTTCTCTCAGACATGCAGGTTTGCTCACGATGTTTTCCTTCACCATAAGACGTAAGAGATTATGGTTGATACTACAATACAAACTTTTAAACTAAATAATAAGGTCCGCTCTAAAGGTTTTAACACACTATATAAGATGGCCCGCTTCGACTTATGCATTGTTATTATATATTTATTAAATGTTTATGATTCATTAAAATCTGACAAATATTGCGATTATCGAAATAGATGAAATAAATTCAATTTATATGTAACTAGCGTTTACCCGCGGTTTATTCCTTGGATATGAATGGCTTTGAAACGCATAGAGGACAAAGTTTTAAATAATTTTTTTTTAGTCTAGCAATCTTCGCGGGCATATGCAGAATAACTCACTAAAGTTTCATCGCTATCAATAATAATAAAAACTAATAAAAACAAATTTAGATATTTAATGCTTAGAAATGTATTTAAAAAATGTACACTTTACTTACTTTCATTGCATAATTTGATCTCTGTTTATGATGAAAAAGATGAAAACTTGATACAAATTGAAAAATAGTTTTTCGATACGATTTCATGAACGGCATTGTAGCTCTTTGCTGCGATATTAATAAGAAAATTTTGTTAAATTAAAATAAGCATAAAAATTATCAAGTGTATTAAGTTCATCAGCACTTATTATTAATTAGTAGATAGCTGGTTCATATGAAATCCGCTAGATATACAAACGAAATTAATACTATTAAATAAAACTTCTTCGTCGTCTTTTCGGATTTTTTTCTATATTATAATATATTTATTTTTGGTACCCGAAATAATGCTTTAAAGCAATCATAGCCACGAGA